TGAGGCCGGATCTGAACTCAGGTCTTCCTGAATCCAGGGCGGGCACTCTGTCCACTGTGCCACCTAGCTGCCCTGTACAGTTTATTTTATCTGAGGCCATTGATTGTTTCATATGGTGATTCAGAATGTATTTTGAGATATATTTGCAGGAGTAGCAATTTTTATTTTCAGTGCTTTTGAAGACACCGAGCCCCCCAGTGGGATGCTGGAGATTGTTCAGTTCTCAGGCCCCTTGCCTTGCCCACCGAGCACTGATGCCTAGGTACTCTGTTTCCTGAAATTGCTTCTACTGCTTTGAGCAGTGTATGGTGGGACCTTGGGTCCCTGTGCAGTGACCTTTGGGGGGCTGCTTGTGTCCCTGGCTTCTGTTCTGAAAGGCTGACATTGGGATCTGTATTCAGGTCCTTGATTATTGATGCTTATGCTGTTTTGTGACCCTCTCCTACTGTCTTTCAGGTCTGTGCGTTAGGTCTTTTTGTGCAAGCTTGAGCATTTTGTGGTGTGGCTCCCTCATGACCTGGCTTTAAATGATTTCTAACCTGTTTATGGAAATTTGTCTTGTATTTCTTGATGCAGCTCTTCCTTGTTAAATATTTTTCTTAATGCCTTCGATGAAAGTATGCTTACCACTTCTACATATTACATGACAGAATCTAAAATGTTAGCATTATTCTAGAAAGATGGGCTGAATCTAATAAGATGAAATTTAATACACATACAAGTCCTAAACTCTGGTTTAAAAAATTAATATAAGTACAGAATGGGAGAATTATGGCTAGACAGTGGGTTTGTATTAAAAAGAACTGGGAGTTTCTGTGGACAACAATTTTGAAATGTCAGTAGTGTGATAGAGCAACCAGAAAAGCAAGTGTGGTCTTGGGCTGCATAAAGAGTGGCATAATTAAAGAATAAGGCAGGTGACAGTCCACTGTTTTCTGCTATGGTCAGACTGTCTTGAGTATTGTGTTCAGTTTAAGGAAAGAGATTGATAAATTAGAAGGGGTCCAGAGAAGTGAGACTAGGGTGTTGATGTGATAGAATATCATGTCAAATGAGGATCAGTTGACAAATTGGCGATATTTAGCCTGTAGAAAAGGCTTAAGGTAGATGTGATAGCTGCTCTCAAGTGTTTTAAAGGGTTGTTGTGTAGAAGAGGAATTAGATTTGTTCTGTGGCATTTGACCCAGAGGACAAATTAGGAGTAGTGAGTAGAAGCTGCATTTCTTTTCAGTTAAAGAGAAAAGTTCCTAACCAGAGGTGGAGGACCTTTTCATGTTGGAAGGCCACTTAATATTTAGCTGTAATCATTAAGGCTGCATTCAAGAAACTTCAATTAGATATACTTGAAAATGTACATTATTTTGTAAAAACCTAACTACTGTGTATTAAATAATTTCAAAAAATGAAAACTGCTTGTTAATTTAAAAGTTAACTAACCTGTTAATGACTTTGTTGTGTCTGCTTTTTATTGGAAAGCATTTGAATCTTTGGTTGCAGCATGGAGGTCGATGTTTCAGTTGATCCTCTAGATGGGTACCAGTCATTTGTGACCTTAAGAGCATCTTGATTTGGGTTGGGTAGGAGAATGTGGATTCACAGCAATAAGTGCTTGAAAAGCAAGAAAACGTTTTTGGTCATGCTGTTGAAGGTGTGGATACTCTACTGCATTTTTCCATATTTCAATTGGATCTTTCCTTTAATGACTTTAAAATGTCATCTACTGAGCGCTCAGTCAATTCCATCTGTAGTTCTTTAGGTGCCTTGGTGATATCAACTAGGTAAGGCTGAAATGCTAATTTGAGTGTGATGTTATGATTCTCAAAGTTGGTAAACTTTTCGTTGTATTATCCAATTAATTAGTCTATAACAGCTGCGTATTCTTCAGATGATTTGCATATATCATCCTGCTCATCAGTGACCTTTGCTAACTGGGGAAGATGTTCATTTGAAATTTCCTTTTGAATAAGTATTTTGAAAAAAGATAACTTTTTTCGAAATGCTTGAATTTTTTGCCGCACATCATATTAGCTTTACCTTGCAAAAAAATGTTCAAGTTATTTTGATTTGACATGATACCACACAGAAATGCAGCATTCCTATAGAAATCTTTCAGTAATTCACATCACTGATTCTGTCTGTTTCGAAGAGATAAAGTTTTGGCTGACACCTGTCCCTGGGATAGCCAACTCACTTTAGAATGATATGGCAAATCTGCACTGAATACCCCATTGTTTAATTTTAGCATGTTATGAAACCGATGATGCCGTGTTGCATTTGCATGAACATGGTTAACAGTACTTACAACTTGTCGCAAAGTGTCACTTAAAATAGTAGTTTTAGCACAGAGATTGTGCTGATGCAAGGTACAGTGAAAAGAAACGAGAGCATCTGGATCTGTTAATACTTTTTTTTTACCTATGCAATTAACCTTTCATGTTTTCCTGTCGTGGAATGTACACTGTCTGTACCTACACTCACTAAATTTACCAGTTTGGGTCCAGCTTCATGACATTTGTCTTGAAAGTTGTTGAAGATATCTATTCCCTGCGTTCCGTCTACAAGAATGCCCAAAATAACTCTTTGTAGCAAAGAAAACCTTCTGTTAGAAACTGTTAAGTATAAAATCTGCACTGTCAGTAATATCAGTTGATTGATTTAAAGCAATTGAATAATATATGTTTTCCTTTTGAAGTATTGCGTGAAGTTGTTCTGTTAAGTTGAAGGCTAATTCGTGCTGCTGATCAGTTATGATTCTCCTTGAAAAAGGCAGGGATTTGTACTTTGAAATGTTATCAGGGTATAAGTATCGTACAGCTTCAACAGTGCATTCTTTCACAATTTCTACATCACTGAATGGGTTCCCTTTTTCCCCCCCAAGCATATAAGCTGTTTTATAAGCTGCTTCATTGGCATTATTTCTAGGTCTTTTTGCTGCTTGAAAGAACTGTCTTCGCTTTTGATTTTCATTTTTTAATTTCTGCAATACAACCTTTTGTGCCTCTCCCTCTAATTTAAAATATTTGTGGTCCTTAACAGTGTTGTAATGCTGATGAGCATTTAATGTTGATGTTGCAGTATCACAAAGCAAGCAAATAATCTTATCTTTAGTAGAAACAAGATAATATTGCAATTCCCAATCCTCATTAAAAAATCTATTTTCTTCTTTCCGCACTCTCTTGGTGTTCTTTGACATGATGGGGTGTTAAGCAGACAGAATTAAGAAATACTTCCAAGCTGTGCAACTATTCACAAATTCCACTTCAAACAGAACCACACTGCACCATTATCAAAAGCTGGTAACAGACTGGCGTACTCAACCCCTACATTCTCACCACCCAGCCTTGTGCAGTAGTGGTGACTGGCAGTTGGGGGAAGTAGAACTAAATAACGAACATAGCAGCCTTCAGTTTAGCCCTTATGACTTACTAATGTTCTAATTGTGCTGGTTAATCTGGGAGGATTGTTTCTTTGAAACTAATTTTATTCTTTGGTGTTTTAAATACATTGAAACAAAAATGTACTAACATAAAAGGGTTTGTTCTGTAAAATTTGGATTCAGTCAGAAGGCCACAGGTTCCTCACCTCTGTTCCTAACACTTAATAGCTGGCTTTGACTGAAAGTTTATCAGCAGTGACAATTTGTTAAAGATGGGATAGAGGGGATTCCTGTTCAAGCACACACCTACCTATTAGAATTTATGTGGTTTTCTTCAAGGTTCACCTTAAATTATGTTTCCTGCAGGAGGCCTTTTCAGGTCCCCCCAGGTTCTAGAAGCCTTCTGTCCTCTATTTTCCATCTACTTTGTATGTATGGTGTATATACCTGTTCATTTGCATGTTTTCTTCCCCCTTAGGATGTACTAGAAAGTCTGTTCCTTGAGAATATAGACTATTTTGCCCCCTTTGTATATACCTGTTCATTTGCATGTTTTCTTCCCCCTTAGGATGTACTAGAAAGTATGTTCCTTGAGAATATAGACTATTTTGCCCCCTTTTTTGTGTCTCCAATGCTTAGCAAATATCTAACACATAGTAAGCATTTTATTAAGGTTTGTTGATTGATTGGTATCTCAATTCTGCCTACCTTTGAACTCCTACTCCAGAATCACACAAGTAGTATGGGTCAGACAGAGGCAGACATTGAATCCAGTTCTAGCCACTAATCCATGTTTAAGTACTAAACAAATTTACATCTTAAAGCTCTCCAGAGAGACAACTAGCACCTAGAACCTTTTGAAATTTACACATTTGGTAAATAACCAATTATTTTTCAAAATTGTTTTGATTTCCTGCTAAGTTAAAAATAAATTGCTATGTATCAGATTTTTGTTGTTCAGTCATTTTTCAGTTGTGACCCCGTAGGGTTTTTTTTTGGTAAAGTTATTGGAGTGGTTTGCCATTTCCTTCTCCAGCTCATTATACAGATGAGGAGACTGAGGATCACATAGCTAGTGTCTGAGGCTATATTTGAACTCAGGAAGATGAGTAAAATTGGATCTTTCCATCTTTCCCATTCTTGAAGTAGAGGGGCTCCTCGTGGGCCTGATCCCACTACTGATAGGCATGGAAGTTTTCATCTGTTCTATTTTCTGATGTAGGCCAAGTTTACCCCACCTAAAGCAACTCAGTGGCACTCCATATTCAATCAGCTCAAAATTCCTGAGATCAAGAGATCTACCAGTCTGAGCCTCCAGGATAGCTGGGATTATATATACCTGAGCCACCACTCCTGGTGTTGATGTAGATTTTTATTAACAGCTACTCAAGGACTATAGTATTAATAACTAAAATTAACAAATCGGATCCAAATTTAACCTTAAAATAGTTAACAACTCAATCTTTTCACTCATCTTTCACCGCAGATTGGTTAATTTTATTTGACCTAACTCTTTCCATAACTTTTGACGGAGAGGTGAAATAAACAACAGGAGAAATAAAGGACTTTACAAAATTACAGATGTAGACAGTTATCTCCTTATCTAAGTGGACTATTCCACAGACCTAGATTTTTACGTAATATGAATTTGCTATAGACGTGGAAGGAAGCAGGAGTGGGGCTATGTCCCTATGAAGGGACGGGGCCAGCAGATGCTTTAAGGACACATGGGGGCCAGGGACAGAAACCAGAACAGGAGGAACATGCCTAGGCCAGCAATGGAGGACCTGGTTGGAATCCAGAAGAAGAATAAATTGGGGGGTGGTGATGGAAGACATCTGGGGGCCTGGCATGGACACAGACAGAATGAGGGTGACATGCGGGCAGATGGGTGCTACTGGAGCACAGACTGATCAGAGCAGGGCCTGGACCCCCAGGCAGGTGGCAGAATGGGGCAAAGCTGTCTCTTAGGTTTTAAGCCAAGCCTCCAGCTGGTGGGGGCTTATGTGCTCTTCTGCTTTCACTTGGAGGTGGTTGTTGTTGTTGTTGTTTTTTGTGGGGTGAGGGTGGGAGGCTTCAGCACATGGATGGAGGGACTGGAATAGAGAGACAGAGCACAGTATTGTATAGTCAAGTTAACATCGGTGGTTTTTTGGAATGCAGACTTTTTTCAGAATTCTTTACAAACCATAGTGTGAATTTAAGTAAAGAGAGAACTGTAATCAAAAGCTGACCAGACTATATTTTGTCCAGATTATGCAAAGTATGGTCTCATGTAAAGCCTTGGATGATGGAATAAGTAATGATAGCTCAAGTTTATTAAGTACTTTAGTTGAGATAGTACTTTCACACATACATTACTTTGTTCAGTTCTCACAACAACCTTCTGAGGTGTGTTGTATAGATACTTTCCTCACTTCAGAAATTAAGTGACCATGTGATGGCACACCAAAATTTGAATGAAGTCTTCAGTTCTGGGGCTCTTGACTATCTTAAAATACTACCAATTCATACCAGGCTTGAGATTTTTAGGCTCATGGGTTTAGAACCAGAAGGGATGTTAGGGGTCATATAGTTCAGACCTTTCATTTTACAAGTGAGAAACTGAGGTCCACACAGAATAAGCAGTAGAGCCAAAATTTAAACCCAGATCTTTTGACTCTGGATATAGCACTCTTTTCACTGTACTGTGATACCTCTTCTGTAAATGCATGCTTATAAACCTTTTAAAAAATTATGAATTTGACAAACATGAACTTTCCCTATACAAGGAACAGAAAAAGAGAAGTATGTATTAAACTGAATCTTCTTTATGTAGCACCCTTAGATTACTTACTTTGGAGTTACTGCTCCAGTTACCACTTGTGTTGGTCAGCCCCTAGAGTGGTCAGACTTTTTTCCCTTTAAAGTTCTAGGTATGGATACCACCAGGGTCTAGAACTCTTCTCCACCCCCCCACCATGGACTTTCCATTGATTAAGAGCTAGGCTTAATTACCTTTAGAAATGGCACTTACTAAGCACATAGTAACACAAAGACAGTCTCCCAAAAGACTGGGGCACCTCCTAAATATACAGAATATCTGGAGTTGGGGAGAATAGACACACACTTTAAATACAGCAGTGATGAGATACATGTGTCAGAGAATACGCATAAATTATGTGACTGTAATGGAATAGTATTGTGTCTTACATAATGAAAAGGACATTTTTTGAGAAATCTGGAAATTCGTGTATGTAAACTAGTATGTAAATGTAAAAACTAGAATGAATTCATATACAGAGTGAAGTGGGCAAATCAGGAAAACAATTTATACAATAAATTTGTGAAGATAAACAACTTTGAAAGACTTAAATCTAATCAGTGACCAACTATGATTACTGAGAACTGATGATGACCTATGAGTGTGATGATGAACCTTACTCCTGACAGAGGTGATATACTCAAGATGCAGAATGAAACATATTTTGGACATGACCAATTGTTTTTTCTTGCCTATACATATTTGTTAAAAGGGTGCACTTTTTCTTTCTTTTTTTTCAGTGAGTGAGAAGGAGAGAAGAGAAAACATTTTTGTTAATTGAAAAATGAAAAAGAACACATGAGGCAAAAGGACAACTCAGATTTCTTGGTTACTGGAAATCTTTGTGATGTCCTCATGAAGTTCCCCTGCGGTATAAGTTATTTTCTGGGTTTTTCTTAGAGTACTGAAGCTGCTTTTCCTCAATATGTCTAGTTAGTGTCTCAGTTCATAGTGTAGGTGTTGCCAGTTACAGTCTGGGAGATTGCTACTGTCATTGGTTATTTTCCTAAGTATTAAATTTAGCATGGCAGTACTGATGCTCTCTGACTTGTCTGTTCATCTTTGAGCTTCCTTCTGCTTCCTGCTGTGTATTGTGAAACTCAAAAAATTGTTACTTTTGACTCTAGAAGTTAACATGTATTTTAAATTTTAGCTTTGCCACATTTCTGCATGTGCCCTCTTTTTTTCCTCTGACACTGCCACCATTATGGCACCTCACATCTGTACTGCTGCAATAGGCTGCTGATGGGTTTGCCTGCCTGGAGTTGTGGGGCCCTGAAATGTCCAGTCTACAATAAAAGAAACTGAGGCAGAGCTCTGAGCCAATAACCATTTATTTAAAGGACCTGGCCCCCTTTATTGAATATAGGACCTCAGATCTTCCTCATGATCTGAGATGCCCCCTTTCTCTAGGGCCTTGATTTTATAGTATTTGGTAAGATGATACAGAGATGGTATAGAGTAAAATACAGGATCTCATTGGTTGACAAACCTATACCTTGACCCTCCAGGAGGACCTACAGTTCAGCCTAGGGTCACTGAGCTCATGGCAGATAGTAATGATCATAGGAAGGACAAGGCAAGGGTTATCCATTGGTTAAGTGGTCATGTCCATTTCCCCATGTTGGCCAATAGAGGCATGAAAGGACAAAAATAAGTGGAGAGGGGCTTTCTGTATCATTAGGTTATCTCCACCATTCGGGGTCATCTCCACTACACCTAGGCTCGGTGACCATGATGGCATTTGTCACTTCCAAGGAACCAAAAAAAGAAAAGGGTGGATATCTTCTAGTTCACTTCTTTTGGTTAAGCAAGTGAACTTGCATTCAGCTCTGGAGCCCAATATACAGAACTTTTATAATGTAAGAGTATAAAAAAGAACCTGTCTAACCTTTTCTAATTATCTCTAAACATATGTAAAATATGTACTACTATTAATTGACTTGACTGGCTAAATGTATATTACTAAATGTATGTCAATAGACAAGTATAATAAAAGTAACCACTACCCCTATGGCATCACACTTAATTAAATAATGAGTGAAATAAATTAGGGGTTAAATTAATCATTTGACACAGAGTCTCTCCCCACTCTAATCCATCCTTCGTTTGGTTGCCAGAGTGATTTTCCTAAAGCACAGGTCTGTCCATGTCACTCACTCCTTTTCCCCGCTCTGTGAACTCCAGTGGTTCCTTGTTGTTTCCAGGATCAAATAAAAATGCTCTGTTTGGCATTCAAAATCTTTTATAACCTAGCCCCCTCCTATCTTTCCAGTCTTCTTATATTTTCCTCTACTAACTCTGATCCAGCGACACTGGCTTCTGTTGTTTCAGGAGCAATAGAACAAGACACTCTTTGGCCATCTCTGGCTGTCTCTCCTGCTCCCTCCTCAGCTCTACCTACTGACTGCTAGGTGCTCTAGGAGTTCATAATACAATGGGAAGGGAGATAACATGTAAACAAGTACATACAGACATGCTATATGTAGAATAAGTAGAAAATAATCCCATTTTCAACAAGGAAGCTTTTCCCAACCCTTCTTAATTCTAGAGCCTTCCCTTTGTTAATTATTTTATATTTATCCTATGTGTGTAGCTTGTTTGTATGTATTTGTTTTGCATGTTATCTCCCTTTTCCTTTAGGAGCTAGACTGTCCTTTGCCTCCTTTTGTATCCTCAGTGCTTAGCACAGCTCCTGGCACATAGTAGGAGCTTAATGTTTATTGATTGATTTGCCAATCTGATGAGTGTGATGCAGAACCTCAGAGTAGCTTTAATTTGCATTTTTCTAATTTCTAGTGATTTGGAGCATTTTATCATATGTCTATAGGTAGCATGAATATTTTCCTTTGAAAACTTTGACTGTCCTTTGACTGTCAATTGGAGAATGACTTTGATTCTTAAAAATTTGAATCACTTCCTTATATATCTAGGTATTGATGCCTTTATCCAAAATTTTGATTTTATGTAGTTGATATTGTCCATTTTCATCCCCTGTAATCCTTTCTGTCCCCTTGTTAGGTCACTATCTCTTAAGCCTATCTGTAGATCTTTTAATTGGTTTTCAGTTTCCTTTACCTACATTTATTTTATTGTTATTCTTAATGCTTCTACGTTTGTGAACCATATTAGCTAATGAAATATATTTGCCTAAGAATCCAGTCAGTCAGTTGTATGCTTAGAATATGTTAATCTTGATGTAAGGTATACAGAGGTAGTTATAAAACATAGTAAAAGTCTGGAAAGCTTTTCCAGCTTTGGAGTTGCTGTTATTTTGCATCTTCATGCTCTGAATAGCTCTGATAAAGTTTAATGTTCTTGAGGGCAAGAACTGTTTCTTTTTTTTTTTTTTTTGGTATGCCCAAATCCTGATAACTGTGTATGTTGTAGGTGCTTGTTGAAATGAATTGGATTGAATTCACATTTCATCTACCGTTTCAAAACAATTGTGAATCAAACTTTTGCCTCAACTCAGTAACTTAGTTCCCCCAAATTTTCTATCTAAATATGTTAGGTAGGTGCAAAAGTAATTTAAAATATTAAATCTGATTAGAATTTAAGATGCTTATTGTGAAAAGGAAAAAAAGGATCTACTTAAAAGTAATTTTTAGCTAGCTCTTAGGAAAGAGAGCATTAAGAGGCAGTACTGGAAAGAGCATTAGATTTTGTATCAGAGGATTCAGATCCAGATTCCTTTGACACTACTTGTTTGACCTCATACATTCATTTAACCTCAGTATACCTCATTTGTTTATCTACAAAATGAACAAATTAGACTAGATTACTTCTAAGGTACTATTCACCAAGTCTTTTGAGCTCTGAGAGGTGAAAATAAGAAATGTATTGTTAGTACAGATTATGAAGATATTTATACATCCTAAGGTACTTCTTTAACTTTGAATTGCTTATATGCCAGGAAGAATGTTCAAATCTTAAATCGCTATAGTAACTTTATAGGAGAATGTTTCAAAGTGACAGGTAAATCCCATAACCTGGGTCAGGAAGGAAAGTCTCAAAAAAAGCTAACAAGCCTTGACTTAATTTAACCATCATTCACTAGGTTGAAATGCTTCATGTTTGTTTTAGTACATAAGACTTTGGAAAGGGTTGTTGTAGAGCTCCTAGTGAGAAATTGATTTGTACGTATTTAGTAGGAAAAGTTACTGTAGTATTCATTTAAGACTTCTAATTCAGTATTCTAAAAAAGGTATTGAGTAGAGAGAGACTTTAATCCAGAGAAAATACTGGCTTTTGTTCCTTTAAAATATGTTTTGGGAACACTGAGTTTTTTGT